AATACCATGAAATTCCAAAAGGTTCACATACTTTTTCTTGCAACTGTATATATATAGAATGTTTATATAAATATGTTATTCAGACTCATGACAGAAACTGCATTAGTGGGTCTCAGGCAGAAAAAGAATATTTCCATGCTTAAAAATTATACAAGATGTAATCACTTATTGGTTTCTTTAGTTTTCTATCTTGATCAAAAGGTTGGACTTCTTTTCATTTTATCTTCACAACAACCACTCTGTGAACCAAAGTGAACTGAAATAGGATGGCTGGCCCAAAGATGTCCAATGAATCTCCATGCTTAGGGCACACTTCAACCTGGGTCTTTCCAGTCCTACTCTAACATCTTAACTACTCAACTACACTGGCTCTTATGTGCTAAAGAACAAGTTCCTTACTTACTTCCTCGCAGCTCAAAAATCTCTCCTATCAGCATGAAACAAGGCTCTGCAAGGGCATCCCGTTTCCCATCCACATCATCCCCATAGTCAGATAGATCATCATCTTCAGCTTCTTCCTGAATAACATAAGAACAGCATGAAAACTATAGTTAATTAACTTTTAAATGCATTTCTACTTTCTCTCTAAAACAGGAATAATAATCTGCTGTTTCAAGTGTTGAGATATTGTGTGATGAATGTGTGAACTAGCTGTTAGAACTCATATTTATTCTTTTGCCATTTAAATCTCCCCAGGCTATCCAGTTCAATAGAAGTTCCACAGAGCAATAGGAAATCAAAGCTCATGAACCTCATGCCATCAAATTAATAGAACTTGTCTACTGCCAGCATCTCTATAGAATATCTGGGAAACATTCTGCCCAGCTTTGCTACCCAAGATTCTTAAATGGAAGATAACATTTGCTGATTGCATCCAGTTCTCCTAAAATGGCCAGTATGTTATACATATCAGATATGGACCTTTTTCATCAATACCCTTGTTCTTTGATACAACTTAAAACTTATTTTCAAAGTGAACTGCCCTAGAGTAGTAACTACTGAAATGTGAAGACAATGTATACAACACACCTTCATTAGAGCCTTCAATATTTTGTTTATTTAAAAAAACCCTTTAAACCATTTATCGTCTTGGCCACTGGTTCATTCATTTAAAATTACTCACAATTTTATCTTATCTGAATTTACTCCATAATGTGGCCTGCTCTTTTTAGATTAGCAAGATATGCAGACCTATTCCCCAGGCTTCGTAAATCAATTGCCTCTTGGGTGACACATCACTCTAAGCCAAAAACAAACAAATCATATTGTAGTTTAGCACAACGTGATATAGGTCTAGTTGTCTCCTCATTATTTTGGACACATGTTTATCTACCAAAAATAATAATTCTTCACCCACTTACCTCCTGATGAGAAAAGAAGTCACCAGGAAGCCTCTCCAAAAATGAAGAGAGTGAAAAAGAAGACTTCTTTCCCTGTATGTCGATCATCTTAAGGTATTCAGGAGAAGGGCTTAAGAAGGCATAAAGTGCTTCACTCTGACACAGCCTTTCATCAGAAAGCAATTTCTACAGAAAAAAGACCGAATGGTATTTGAAGATATTAGAATTATAGATTATTTTATTTTTAAACCAGGAAACAACTGCATATTACAATCCATTGTAGTTATTAAGGTTTTTTTGTGACAGAAAGCAAAAATATTTATCAGCAGCATCAACATCTTAGAGGATCACAAAGTCAACAGTTGTTCCTGGAATCAACATTTCGGGAAGGGGGTTCTAAGTGTATTCTGACAAATAAAAGAACTGAATGCTGGTATATGCTAAGAAAAAAAACCTTCAAAAGAAAACATCATATTTACTATTTATACCTTAAGACTGTTTTTCCATTGTGGGATACAGATGAACTAAAAAAGCCCAAGGAGCTGCTAAGGGATGATCTATAGCCTTTCCACCGGGACAGTCAATATTAACAATGTTGCACTTCTCTTTTTATTCACATCTCTGGGGCACCAAGATGTGACAACTTCCACCCACACTGTGCAGCGCCTTATTTTCACTTCTACCTTAAGTTTTCTTTGATTTGTAAGCTCATCATGGTTGATTGCAAAAACGTATAATTTGGGGTAAGCAACCTGTAACACTCCACATACCACTGAACTACAATTCCCAGCAGCCCAGCTAGGCAAATGATAAAGAGATGCTACAGCGCATACATAAAAAAATATAAACATGGACACAGACCAGCAGACATCTTGTAATTAGTGCAAAAAGTTGGGGGAATGCATATCATTTAGTTTGCCAAGTTGCATATATCTCAAGAAAGAAACATATGTTTCACACTAAGATAACTAAGCTATATATATATGGTATTATGAACAACTGCTTCACACATGCTCTTCGAGATATGTGGGCTGCCTTAAATTTTAAGAAGTATTCTACAGGCATTTTGATTTTCTATAAACACCTATATTATGTTATACATAATAAGTACATATATTGTATATATTTTTAGTCTGTTAATCATGGTTAATTATGCCAGCCAGCAGAAATGTAAAATCTCAAATCTGGAAACTCAGTCTTCAAATTCTGTAACTGGGCCCTTTCTTGAGATTGGAGAATACCCATGAGGTTTCATTATGGTGGACAGCAAGCTTGCCATGCTGAACGACAGGTAGTCCTCACTTAACAACCATTCGTTCAGTGACCATTTGAAGTTATGACAGCACTGAATGAAATAGTTATAACCAGTCCTCAAAGTGATGGATGTTGCAGCGCCCCCACGTCATGTGATTAAAATTTGGGTGCTTGGCAGCCCACCTGTATTGATGACCACAGCATGTGCTTCAACTCCCTCACCTGTTTATCTCCCATTTCTGCCCTTTGACTGCCCTGCACTCTGCCATCGCTGCCACCTACCCCTGCCACCCCCCTGCTGCCCCCAGCTGACCCTCGCCATCTTCTTCCTCCCACTGCTGATGAGGCATTCCCAGCCAAGGCAGCTGCTGGCCCTTCGCGAGGCCTTTGCGATGCCCATCTATCTCACCCCCATCTCTGCCCCTTTGGCCACCCTGCACTCCACCCTTTGTGAGGCCTCTGTCAGTAGCAGAAGGAAGAAGACAGTGAAGATCAGCTGGGGGTGGCAGGGATAGGTGGCGGTGGAGTGCAGGGTGGCCAAAAGGGTAGAGATGGAGGGTGAGATAGGCGGGTGGGGGGAGCTGAAGCAGAGGTGAGTGCAGCAGGGCAAGAGAAGCGTGAAGTCCTCACCTAACGATGGCATGGTCCTCACCTAATGACCTCAACAAAGACTACCAGAACTGCCATCACCAAGTGGTATGGTCATGTGATGTTTTGCCTAACAATGCTTTGCTTACCTACAGAAATTCCAGTCCCAATTAGGGTTGTTAAGCAAGGACTACCTGTACAGCAGAACCTATTAAGAGACATCAGAAGATGAACACTATTTTTTAGAGTCTATAATCTTTTCCCCAAAAACATATTAGAAGGTAAGTATCTGCTTATAGACACAACAAGGGAACAAAGATGAGAATTGTTCAATACATAGGTCCTCAGAGAACGTAACACAAGATAAATACAGGCCTACCCTTTTTAACCAATTCTATCTCCTTGACAAGTATTCACATTCAGTGCATTTTCAAACACTGGCCTGTCACACTATATGTACAAAAGTACTGTATACTTAAATACTAAATCCCACTGAAAGGAAAGGGACATAGATTGGTAACAAAATTAGGCTGTTTTATTAATCCAAACTCTGAATTTGGGACATCATGTGTGAAAAGATGGAGGATTATCAGAAGAAATAAAAGAGGGGGGGACTACAATTTGGGATTATGAACAAATTAAGGAATCTTACCTGTAAGAAGTTATTTAACTGGTTCTTAGATTTCTCCATGAATTTCTGGTCTACAGATTTAAATGGCAATTTGCTGAGTGAAGGCAATTGAGCTTTCTTTAATGATGGAAAACACTAGGTAGGAAGAAGCAATTCCCAATTATTAATCCACTTTAATTTATAACCCTAACTAAAGCCAATAATGTACAGAATAATATGACTAGGAAGTGCTGATTTTCAGTTTCTCTGCATGTTATTTGTTAGTATAGCCATGCCTCCAGAAATAAACCTACACCAGCTCAAGACTCACACTAGCCATCACTTTGTAGAAATGGAGAAACACAATGTGTTATAAAAGAGTCTGAATATCAGACACAAAATACTCTTAATGCATGAATGTCAGCTAACTCCCTGAACACTAACACTCTAAACAAAGGTAGAAGAATATTTCCATTGTCCTACCAAATGAATCCCAGGGCTCTAAACATAACTAGCAAGTCAACAAAATTACACAGAAGACACTTCCATATCACTGCCAAGAAAACAAGATGGACATATCCACATACGTAATACCCAAGGATCAAGCTTGACTTTATTGACTTTACCTTTATCTGAATGAATATTGAATACACCAATAACTTTCAGCAATTTTAAGAATTAGGGTACAGTCAATTCTATTGATCAGGTCTATCAATTCTAACCAACAATTTAAACAGAACTAGAAGTGGGGATGCATAAGCACAATGCACCCTACAGTAAAGTCAATAGTTTCAAGTACAAAAACAAAGTCTGCCAAAGAACCAACTAGACCTCTCAAAGTAAGCAAGAGCTCGCCCCACAATATCTCTGTACCTCACTGAGTTTCCGATGCAGACTTTGAAACTCGCTGAGCTTTCGGACAACTGTCCACTCCTTCGCTTCAATCCTGCCAATCTCCTGTAATATCACTATGACAGAATAATAGGGCACTTGTTCACCATTTTCTTCAATGACCTAGGAAAATAAAGAGTTATTAAATGTTTACTTTAGAGAACATTACTTGAAAAAACTTATTTACTAATACGTTCATATTTTCATAAGAATCTCTGGGGTGCATTTTAATTGTTGCACATAACTGATTTTGTAGCAGGCTTATTTCCATGTTTGAAAAATAAATACAGAAAATTCAAGCTATCATTTGAAGGTAAGAAGTAAATATACAGGTAGTCCTCGCTTAACTACCATTCACCTAACGACTGTTCGAAGTTACAATGGCACTAAAAAGCTACTTATGACTGGTCCTTGGACTTACAACTGTTGCAACATCCCGTCATGTGATTGCAATACGGGCGCTCGGCAACCAGCTCGCACTTAGAACAGTTGCAGTGTCCCGTGGTGATGTGATCACCTTTTGCAACCTTCCCAGCCAGTTTCCGGCAAACAAAATCAATGGGGAACCATGTGATTCACTTAACGACCATGTGATTCACTTAATGACCATGTGATTCACTTAACAACCACCATAAAAATGTTGGAAAATCGGATGTGGGTCATGTGGTGCTTCACTTAACAACCACCCTGCTTAATGACAAATTTTCCAGTCCCTATTGAATCATTCAGGCAGCAATGCTTGTGTTACTTTTTCAGAAGCTGCTTCAGCTGTCTCTATGTGTATGCACACACAGCCAAATGCCTGTGATAAGCAGTGCCTCTGCATCCAGACACGGCTGGAGCAGTGCAGCCATGAAATCCTGGGAAAAATTGCAACCACATTATTGTTCAAAGAGAGGTAATTTGGACATATTTCTACATACTGCAAAACGCCTCTTTCTAAGAATATGCACAGCCCTGAAGAGCATGCTACAAAATGCACACCTTATCTAAAACAATACATATTTCCAATTACTAAAAGCCTGTTTTCTTGATTCTAGAAACTTAGAATTTAATTCCAGGAAGTACATTAACATTCACAATGAATTCAAATGCAGGCTTGATGGATCCTGGTGGAATATTTATTGCTCTCTCAAGACCTGCCAACTTTGTTCTGTTTTGTTCTTTGAAAAATGGACTCAACCAATGGCAGTTGGTTTCCCCTGAGATCCAGGTGGCTCCCACCCCACTGAGGAGGGCCTTGAAGACTTTAGCCTGGCCTGGGTGGTTGAAGCCCTTTCTGAGTAGAGAGAGAGAGAGAGAGAGAGAGAGAGACTGTGTGTGTGTGTGTGTTGTTGGTTTTGCTATCTTTTTGTTCCTTTGTCTTTATTGTTATATTGTTATTTTTTCTGTGTTTTTGCCTTGTGAATCACCCAAGGTCACTGGAAGTCAGGCAGTGTACAAATTTAATAAATCATCAATATCATTATCGTCATGCACTGGTTCATACCGAACTCAGTATAAAACCTACCTCGGTGTGTCAGCCCATTTACCCTGATCATGCTACAAGGGGAAGAGGCATCCTATGGACTGGCCATTCTTACAGTACTGCTCAGTTTGGGCTGTTTTAATAACAAGAGTCAGCCTGGTTTGGAAACAGAACAGCTTGGCTGGGAGTGGGTAAAGAAATGCAATCTTGTTAGCACTCAGTGGTGCTGTTTTTGCTCTCTGTCTCTCATTTCATACAACTCAAGAAGCAAAATACATATTCTATGGAAGACTCCATGTGCCTATTTTCAGTAACCTTTCCCAAAGCCTTAACAATAAAAGAGTAGAACAGTGTAGCTTCATCTACCTTGATGACATCACAGTATGAGCGCTAGACATCTCCATGGCTCGCTATTTCAAAATAATGAAAAAAAATACCCTAGAGACCTCTGAAGTAAACATTTGACTAGCAAGATCCCATTCACTTAACCAAAAAAAACCCCCAAAACAGATGAGAGATAGAACATGCCATACCTCTCCAGTATTAATGAAGGCTTTCCACATGCCAAGATTTTCACACCACCAGTCTGTTCTTTCAATATGTAATTGAAGGTCACTGTGTTCTCGCTCCATCAGACTGATTTCATCTTTCAATTTAGAAACAATCTTCCAGGGGAAAAATATGGTTGTTCTCATAGGTTATTGTATTCTTTAGGTAGCAGCAACAAGATTTACTGAAAGCACTCAATTTTTTCTCCATCTATAAGACTTTAACTTGATCTAATAGCTGTGCTAGTTAAAGTTTAACTATAATTTAGAAATCCTAACTTTATTAGATCTTGATGATAAATTATGGATTACAGTGAATTTGGCAAAAAAGAGGGTGAGGTGGTCACTACAAAAACATTTTTAAATGATAGTGTTAATTTTAAAATAAACAGTGATTTAAGGTACTGTCTAGGGATAATTCTATTAGACTTCATAGAAATAGTGAGAATGGCTACACAGCCAATCAATTGTGACAGCCAAAAGAACGCATGCCTGCTACCTAATGTAATAAAATATGCAGAGAGCTCTAATATAACTGTACACAGATGAATTTTGTGTACAGCCAAAAAGCTATCATGGAGTTAAATGCGCATTTTAAGACATAAGCATCAGACAGATATATGAATACTGGCTTGGTTCCAATTGGAGAGGCTGATTTAGAGTATCAGTGTTAAGCAAATCACTAGCAGACCTAGGACAGTGTGTGGCCTAGTTCGCATCAAGTCAGGATTTATTTAGCTTAAATTGTGTTTTTTAACATCTCTGTACACCATAGTTTATTTAAAGTAGTGCTTGTCGACCTCAGCAACTGGACTGGAAAATGTGTGGGCTTCAACTCCCAGAATTCCCCAGCCAGCATACTGAAGCCCACACAACTTAAAGTTGCTGAGATTGAGAAACACTGATTTAAGGCAACAAATCACTGTACAGTACATCCAGGGACTGAAACTTGTTTATGACCCCAGAGTGCTTTAACCTAATTTATTCCTGGTTTGTTTTTCTGTTCCAAGCCTATCTCCAGCAAGGGAGCATGCCAAACCAGCTAATATGTGGAGAGAAATTAACAAGAAATTGGCCAAACAAGCTCTCAAACAATGTACCAGGCTTAGAGTTAGGCGTGAAGGCAGCTGATGTTACTAATGGCTTTTCTGGGAGGTATGCTATTTCTCATCTCCAGAGTAAGAGACAACATGACGAGAGTGAAGGAGAGAACACGCATATGTACTCCGTAGGCTTTAATCTTCTCTCTCTTTTATCCAGTGCAGAACAGAACCAAGCAGCAAATAATGAAGCTTGGCTATGTGACATAAACAAAAGCCTGGGATCCTCATGTTCCAAAGCTATTTCCCAGCTTGGCCTTTGAAAAACGGGATCCTAGCTCCTGAAGCTTTGGACACACAGTGTTCCCAGGCTCAGCCACTGGTATTTCTATAAGAGGAGTTCAGGGCTAGGACTCAAGATTTGGAGAACGTTCAGTGTTAAACAGACACAAATGTAGAAATGATCACTGCACCTGCATGGGGCAATACTGACACTGAATGGATTACCCACACATGTTTTAAGGGCTTTACAAAGGTAGTGATATATCATCAGTGGCAAATAAGGGCAATAACACTTACATTGACTTTTAAAGGAAAGACCTCTTAAGCAAAACTACTCATTATTCTAAAGTCAATTGACTGATATGCTTAAAAATAAGAAAGCTACCTACCTTTTTGTCAGGTTTTGGTGAACTACAGAGAGAATTTAGAGCTTGTCTCTTATATTCAAGTCTGTCATTTAATTGGCGTAGCTTATTTACAGCATAACTGGCCTGTTCATTAATTTCTGAGCTTCCTTCATCAATAACTTCTTCACAAACTTGTCTCTAGGACAGATGGAATTCATTATCAAGTGATGCAGATCACTAAAAAGAGTGTCATGATTGCCCAGCTTATTATTATGCACAGAATAGCAAGTGCAAGCTAATAATGAAGAATGTGAAACTAAAATGAGATCTAGATTTAAATCTCTTTGATTTGATGAAAGTGTGCCAGTTTAGGCAAGTTTCTTGGCAAGACATGATTAGTTTCTGAGAACAATGAAAATGTTAGTAAATAAAAATACCTGTAATATTTACAAAATTATTCATCAACATTCTTTTGACGTTCACAGATGAAAAACATATTTAGGATATACAGCCTTGCAACTGCATATAACAAGTCCTTTGCTATAACTTTGCTTATGTTTCTCCTCAACTACAGAAGCCCTTGGCAGAGGGAATCAAAGCATCTTCACCACATGTGTCCTAAAATTTTAGTTCTCACTTTAAAAAAATCAGTAGAAATGCCTTTGTTTTCAAAATGCTGTAGTACACTCAAATGTTTTATATATTATATTCCTACATCTTCTAATACCTTAACGCAAGTAACAAGTTGATTCATAGAAATACAATAATGGAATACTCAAGAGGACAAGGGAAGTAATATTTGCTCATTCTATTCTCATTTTGGAACATGGCTTTTAAAATCTGGAGCTAATACTGCTTCTAATTATGATAAATGTATATGCCAATGAATACTTGACTGGGAGACTTACTGGGGACATACTACATGAACATTCTACCTGGGCTAATGCAAGTGGTAATGATAGGGCAGTTGGGGACAGGGCTACCAAATTAATCATAACTGAGAGCATCAAGAAGATAAGAAAATTTGTTTTATTTATTTATATAACTTATAGGCGGCCTGACACCAAATGAGTCTGGCAGCTCACAATTACAAATAAAAAAAAAAAATACAAAGCACAAAAAAGAATCATGAATGGCCCCAGAAACAATATATAAAGAAAGAAAACAGGGCATCCCCCTGTGGAGTGCATTACGGTAACCCATTTGTGAGGTGACTAGGGCACGAGTGATGGTCTGAAGAGCCTCCTGGTCAAACAAAGGTCACAGCTGTCACACTAAGTATATTTGTACAAAAGCCATTTTGGTCACAGCTGCCACCTGCTGAATGTGCACTAGTCTTGAACGGGGAAGTGCAACCCCATCCAAGACCAAAGAGGGAAGATCTCCAGAGACAGAGGCCACAAATATCTGCAGCCACTCAGTCTTGTCAGATTGAGCCAGAGTCTGCTCCTCCCCATCCAGACCTGTACAGCTTCCAGACACTGGGACAGCACTTGGTTGAGACAGAATCAAGACATATAGTTGGGTATCATCAGTATACTGAAAATACATGACCCTGAACCAACAGATGACCTCATCCAGCAGTTTAAATGGAGCGGGTAAGAGCATCAGGCCCTGCGGCACCCAACAAGTGAGGGGCCTTTGGCTCAATTTTCCTCCTGTTAACCCTGACTGAAACTGGCCACAAGAAAGGAGGAGGACCACCGCAAAATGGTGCCCCCCATTCCCAAACCTCACAGCCAGTCCAGAAGGATACTGTGATTGACCGTAGTGCAAGAAAGGGCATACTACCCCCATCTTGGCTATACCACAGGTCATCAAAACACATGACCAATACTGTCTCCATACTGTCTCAGCCTGAAACCCAACTGAAATGGGTCCAGATAATCTGTCTGCTCTGGGATGCTCTGGAGCTGAAACCTAACCCCCTTCTCAACAAACTTTCCTATAAAGGGAGGATTGGAGATTGGATGGAAATTGTCCAGAATTGTTGGATCTAATGATGGCCTCTTCAGGAGAGAGTGTACCACAGCATCCTTCAAGGTTGCAGAGACAATCCCCTCCATGCAGATATCACTGCATGGACCCAATGGCAGGTCACCTCTCAGGAGGCCTTGATCAACCAGAGGGGACCTGGATCTAACAAATGGGTAGTTGAGCTCACAGTCTGGAGGACCCTACCCACTTGTTCAGAAGTCACAGGCACAAACTCACTCCAGATAACTCTATAAAATTCTACCCCAAGCACCTCCACTGGAACTGTCCAGTTGGAGGTCAACTCCAAGTGAATCTGAGCCACTTTATCTACCAAATAGCAAGAATAATCCTCACAATAGCCCAAAAAATGTTCCTGTGACTCATCCCTCTCCAGCAGAGAACAAGTCACCTTAAACAGGGCCATTGAAGACTAATGTATCATATTTTATTTTAAAAAGGAAATTTCTAGGAAAAAAGTTAAGGGCTTAGTTAAAAAGAAACTCTGAGCTATCTTAAGGAAACAGGTATTTCTAAAGCCAACGCAACAGAAAAGTTCAGCTAGAATGCATGCCAACATTTACAAAGGTACAAATAGACAGGAAACTAGAATGATGAACAGCCAAAAAAGCTATAAAAAGACAGCCTTATAAAGAAATTCAAAATCTTGTCCAAGTGAAGAAAATAAGACAGACTTCAGATAATTATTTATCTATTATCTATTTTTAGAAAAGAATAAATATGGTTTAAATACACCAGAAGTGAATCAACCAGAACTGTTTTTATATTGCATTGTTATTGTAATTTCTTTTATTGTTATGAGCCACCCGGAGTTGTTGAGAGTCGGGTGGCATACAATTTTAAATAATAGTAGCAATAATAATATTATCATCATCATCATCTCTTGGGAGACAAACTCTCCCAAGCATGGTTCTTCCAGGAATGTCCTGATTTGTTTTGTTTAAAACTTTCTTCCTCAAAGAGTAGGGGAAGGTGTAAGAGAATCACCTATCTGTGGATTTCATACTATCTGATAGAGAAAACAGTTTCTAAGAATTAAGTATAAATACAGGAACATTGGAGGAATGTGACCATTTAAAGTTTTTGACCTTAAAGAAAGTTAAAGTAGAACATAGCCAAACACATATCTTGGTCTTGAAGAAAGCAGATGTTAGTAATCTCACATCAATTACAGGAAAGGTTCTAAGACAGGAAAAGGTAACTGGAAAAAGAATCCAAGGTGTGTGAGAGTTCCTGAAAAAGGAGATATCAATAAAGGAAAGAGGTAACTGGACAAAGAAAGAAAAAAACAGAGAAAGGTATCTGTAGGCATAACTCACCACATCATCTTTGTCATCTGATGCCATTTGGATAGGATTTCTCTCTTCTTTTTTGATCAGCCTCTCATATAAATCACTGACAATGAATGATGGATAGTACCTGTCCTTTAGTGTTTCATAAACATCAGCCTGAATTTTGTAGAACACTTCAATGCCCTTGTTACCCACAAGGCTCTGCTGTATCTCTTTGTATAGTAATTTTTCCACAGGAATTTCTCTGCTTTCCACAAAAAAATCCTGATAGATTTGACTCACAAGTTGAGGTATTTCAGCCTGAGAAGGAAGAAGGACATCCATAATCATCAGCAATTGTTAAATGTTTGAGCCAGCTGATGACCATAATAAAGATTGATTTGATTTGACAATTTAACATTATTCTGATCATTCCTCCTCCAGCCCAACCTCCAAAACACAGCTATGCTGCTCCATGAGGAAAAAATAATCCACAGCTGAAGACCTTCATTAGATACAATCAGAATGAAAGAGCAGAGACTCGAAATTTTGGAGAAAAGGTTCTCCAAAACTTTTCATTGCATGAGGATGGTCAAGAAGCAGGGCATAATGAAAGAAACCAAAGTACATGCTATCACTACTGCCTGACATGAAGAACAGAACTTGAAAACTTTCACACTTTTTGTTTGCTTTTCAAATTGAATATTCTTAGCTGCTTTGATGACTGCCAGCTACTAATTCTGGAGTTAATTACCCTAATTCAATTCTTTGAAGAAAGAGTTCCAATTTAATATACTTGTATGGTTGTAGATTTGGTGGTTTGAGTGTTCTTCACCAACCTGTGTCCTCAAATAATGCAGTACCTCTAAAGGGCACAACATGGGAAAAAATTACATACAGTGTTGAATTCTATATTCAAATCACTGTCTCTTAGCCCAACCAATCTTACAAAATTATTGTAAGAAGTAGGAACCAAGGTGGAGGGAATATCACATATAAATTTAATAGAAATCAAATTCATAGCAAAATGTATGAATAAACAACACCAAAAAGATTACAAGTATGATATACTAGACAGTTCATAAAACAAATAATCAAATTTTCCACTGAAAAATTGATACCCGACTTCAAATATGGTGGACTGTTCTATTTTAATTTCAAAATAAAAAAAACCATAACTTTCCTGTTGTTACTTTTGAAAAATTGGATGGATGTCAGACATTCACAGCAGGCTGCATAGGAAGGAAATATATTAACAGCCTTCCTCAACCAGCCACAGCCCAGATATGCTAACAAGCTGGCCGAGGTGCAATATGGTCAATTCAGATTAAACAGCAAAAGAAGAATCATGAAACACAACTCAATTCTCCATTTCAGAATTAAAATGTATCAAGGAACAAAGAAAGTGTAGATATAAAATTCTGGACTTGAATTCCAGCTCCATTATGACCCTGGGAAAAGCATCTGTGATTCAACCAATCAAATATTACAGCTTAGGTTTTCAGTATCTCAATTTCTCAATTTTCTCTTCTTTTCACAAGAGAAATGAGTCTGGGATCTGCCCCCAGCATCATCCCACCAAAGAAATTATTTATGAACTAAAGCAACTGCCATTTATGAGATGCATTAAAAAAAAACCCTAAAGGGCCTTTTCCCACTTGCACTTAAACATGGCACCAACATGCTCTGGCACCACTGTTTTTCTGCCATGTCCCCACACTGTTGCCTTAATACAGCCCATGAGTGGGACCCCTAAAGTTGTTCTCAGCTGGGGTCGTAGTGTTTTCCCTCTTATTCCAGCCAATCCAAGGGCAGCCCCAAGGGGCATGTAATCTGCTAGGTCATCTGTCACCCATTTGCTTCAAGAGAAGTCATTGTAGGGAATTGAAACAAGGCAACAGAGACAGGACAGAGATTGGCAATGAGGACAGCAACATTTCATGCCTGTATTGTTTTTTGCCAACTCAAACATAGCACACATTCAGCAATGGGAAAAGTCTGTAAGTATTTTGGTGCAGCTTTGATTTACAAGTTAAATTTTGTCACAAGAAAGACTAATTTTCAGTAACAACACTTGGCATACTTATTCATGTACCTTGTTAGCACTCTTCAAGTATTCTACAGATTCCCAATAGCTGATCAGAACCCTCTTATCCATTCTTTCCATGTATATTTGAAAGTGTTCTCTGTAGGATGGGTTACATAATATATCTTCAAACTGAAGTATCTGGGAGGTAGGAATGAGTAACATTATGACAATTAACTATTATATAACAAAGCCAACTGGTTATAATCTCTGTTAAGTGCAATGAGTCCACAGCATGACATTACTTACTTAAGGCTGCAATGAGCAGTAAAGGACTTGTTGAAGATCCTGAAAGCATGTTTTTGTGCCTCATGGACTTTATAATACCCTATAATCTCAGCATTCTTCTAAAAACATCCTATGCTCTTAGAACAGAAAAACATTCCCCACAATCCACAAGAGCTCTTTACAGTGCATGCGAGAATCTGCTTATGCCAACAGGTTCCCGTCCTTTTGCATAGTAGCGCTCATATAGTATAAGTGGTTGCATTTCAGTTTTTTTTCCAATTTTAGTAAGAAGTTTACAGCAATAGGAAGTTCCATTCAGAAAATGGGGAGATGATACAGAAGCTCCCCGTACAGTGCCATCGAGAAGTGTCAAAGATTGCACTCATAATTAACAAGGGCTAGTTGTATCTTTCTCAAATTAGATATTCTGCAAAAACAATGCACATTTTTGATGCAGTATCTCTTAGACTATGTACTATTAGTTATGACATGATCATAAGCCTAATGTCCTTCAGGATATGAATTTCTATTTTCTTTGTGTATTAAAATGTGTAATGCAATCACCCATACAGCAATTTTATCCATTTATTCAAGTTTGATAATATAAGACACAGCATGCAGAGTATCTCCATTCTTTTTGATGTTGCAGATGGTGCTACATGGACAATGTGGCACAAACTGCACTACTATCAACGTGGCACTTTTTGCCACATTTCTCCATAAGTGTCACTGAATTTGTTAAGACCTGTTAGCTAGCAAATGAAATTTGACAGGACTCTAGAAACATGTGAAAGGGACACTATGCTCTTTCACTATGGTATGAGTGAATTACTCTTTAAAGCATTAAAGCAGCCATGTCCTCTGGAAGGCTTGCACAGTTGCCTTGAACATGCTATGTATGATTGACATTTCTTGAGTTGTGCAGGGCACAGAACCCTTCCCCAAAGAAGAGAAGGTAGCAATGGCCTTACCCAAAAAGGGGCTGTAGGGGTACAAAACATGCCTTTAGAATTTGGTATGTGCATTTTTTACTCTGTAGAGTTTCCTATAGAGAGCCAGTCTGGGGTAATGGTTAAGGCACCAGGCTAGAAACCAGGAGACAGTGAGTTCTAGTCCCACCTTGGGCACAAAGTCAGTGGGGTGACCTTGGGCCAGTCACTCTCTTTCAGCCCTAGGAAGGAGGCAATGGTAAAGTACTTCTGAAAAATTTTGCCAAGAAAACTGCAGGGACTAGTCCAGACAGTCAACAGGAGTCATCATTGACTCGAAGGCACCAAAAAAAACAAAGTTTCCTATATTCCCCCCACCCCCCACCCCATGC